CCACAAATTTATTATATCAAAGAATCACTGATACAAAAAAATCAACCAGTTTTATATTGGCTTGTAGATGATAAAAGCAATGGTTCTAAGAGATCTTTCGTGCGAGAAGAATTAATAAAAATAGATATACAAAAATTACAAATGCCCTCAGAGTGTACTTAAACACTAATACTTTTTTATATCTTTAGACCATGAATTTTTTGGAGAATATTAGCTACCTCTTTCTTGGATCTTTTTTCTACAACCTCTTCTTGGCTAGCTAATTCGAAATATAATTTATATAATTTTTCAAGACTATTATATACCTCTTCATTATACCAATCTTTGAAGTCTGCTATTCTTTCATTATAGATATTCTCATTTGGAACTCGTTGCTTTGCAACATATCTAATATGATCTTCTGGATCTCTTTTTCATTATAAAGTTTTAAGATAGTTTATATATATTGCTTCTAATTTGTCATATTTTTTAGTACTTTGACTATATACTACTTTAACTATTTTAACTAAAGCTGATTCGATATTTTTATGATCTACTATTTGAATTTTATATTTTTTATTGTATGTTACTTTATTCAGATCTTTTGTTTAAATAAAAAATATTTCTTTTACTCATGTCTGAAAAATATATTTGCAATTATATATATAATTCTAGTAAAGTTTGTGGACGTAGATGTCGACGTCCTGAAGGGTACCATGATTATTGGCAATCTAAAAAACATGTTCTTTGCAAAGTTTGTAGTAAGCTGACTTCTTCTGCACCTAAAATATGCAAAATTCATGCTAAAAATTATTATGTTATGCAGTTTTATGCTCGAAAACTAAACAAATAACAAATGTTCTACTATTTTATATCTGATTTCAATCAAATTTTTATCATTATACACCCATTTTTTATACCAATTTTACATGTATCCTATCTATAATGACTAAAATAAAAATTTGGCTACAACAAAAATTGTATAGTGTAAAAATATTTAAGAATTTCTGTCATCACAACACTGACGATAGTGTTATATTTTTGTCATCATGACTGGTGAAAAAGGGTGTAAAAAGTATAAAAAAAAAGTCTGCCTGCTCTCCCTGCTGCTTAAGCTTGTCTGTAAATTAATTGTCAGTAAACTAAGTTGTCAGTGAAATGATTTTTGGTGAAATAATACGGATCTACAAAAACTTGCTACAAACACTGTACACTATGCCAAAAGCTCTACTACTGTACCAAGAATCAGACAACCACCTACCTGCTACTATTGTAGATGCACTGGACATTTTATTGCTTAATGCCGTGCTAAACAAAGAAATCAGGAACTACCATGAGACAGAAGCCGAGATCATTATAATAATAACTGAAGCTACAACTGATCTAGAAGCTGAGACAGAAACTATTCTAGATTTTACGATAAAAGTAGATCACAAGACAAGAATAAATCTAAAAGTCAAAACAACTATTTTTGAAATCGAGGTTACTCTCAAGAATGAGACAGCTACTACTCCTATGCTGATGATTATAGAAAATTTTCAAATCACTCACCTTCTCCTTACCATTGTGATATCAACTATCTTGACCAGAACTCCAAAAACTCGTCTTTCATGAGCCAACAGAAATGGGAAATGCTTTTAGATAACCTTTCTATCCGAAATGCTCTCTCTGCTTATCTTAGCCAAGAAGCTAAAACTATGGCTATTACTCTCGAACTAACTACCACATCTGTCAAATACAATATAAAAATTAAAAACAGACCTTACCAAGCTATTGTAGATAGCAGAGTATCTATTAGTATGATTGCTCATAAAGTAGTCCAAGAACTAGGACTCAAAATCAAACAAGCCTCAACTAGCCTTATTATCTCTGCTACCGGAACTTCTTCTTGATCTCTAGAAATTATTCGAGACTTCCTTATTCAGATTGAAGAAGCTACCATCCCTATTACTGTTGAAGTAGTTGCTGCTACTTTCTACTCTTTACTTCTTGGAAATAACTGGTCCAAGAAAGTTAAAGCCAGCTATAACTAGAAAAATGGCTACTACTTCTTTAAGTGGAAGAATCGCAAGTACTATACCTCTACCACTTATAAAAATAATTAACCTCTTTCTGCTCAACCTATTGTCACTAATCCAGACGAATTGGAGCTCTATAAACAGAAGTATCTGATTCCTAAAGAGGCTTACACATTTAGAACCACTAATATAGATACAGACAACCTCAATGACTAGACTACCTATCAACCTCATTGAGTTTGATGATGATCAACTCGAAACTCTCCTCGAGTATGTGGAAATTGCAATGCACCTGCTCACCTATTTGCAGAATACCCTACTAACTGTTGTAACTGTTGTTAAGAAATTGGACATATCGCAATTCATTGCTCTATGCAAGTTCCATGATATACTTCTTGTCGAACATGTAGACAGAACTACTTGTACAGAGACTGCTCTAACAATCTCTGTTATGAATACAATGAACAAGAACACATTGCTATTGATTGTCTTTATACAACTCTATGCAAACAGAATCAGATATACTAATGTAGCTGTAACCCTAATGAAGTAGCTGCACAAAGAGCCTACTATCATAATGCCAGACACACTTATTACTGCTACCAATACAAGAACCCAGAAAGAACCGAACAACTTGGAGTCCTCAATAACCAACTTGTATGCCAAGTCTGTTATATAGACTTCCACTATGACTTAGATTGAAATAACCCCAGAAGTATCTATTTCTACACTCAAGGTGAAGGACAAGGAACTCTAGTTACCTGTAAAATCTGCCAACACTCAGATATTCGATTCAGGATACATAATATAGAAGCATAACCAAAGCTCTTTGGTTTTGCAACCTCAAACATATGTATATATACAAGGCTAGCCAAGATGTCCTCTACAACCCTAACTATAACCTCTGAACTCGAATCTAGCACTATACTACCTCTATCTGAAGCACAGGATCTCAATACAAAATGAATCAGACTCGTATCTTCTGACTTGCAAAGATCTTGTTGCAAAAAAGCAATCAGAATATTGCCGAAGCTTTAGAACCTCTGATGACTGATCGCATCAATCAACCATAGAATAATGAGGAAATAGGTCTTGTTCTACATGCTGAACTAAACCTATTAACCAAGGATGAAGCCCTACAACTCCAACAGACTCTTGACTAATCTTTTGATACTAGTCACCCAGACTTTTGTAAAGAGTTAGCCCTCGCTAATCTTCGACAAAGCTT